ATATATATATATATATATATATATATATATATATATATATATATATAGGAAAGTAATGAAGAACTGCGGATTTTCAAGACCAAAAATTGTGATAAGTTATTTCTAATGTCGCTGGAACCACCTATTTGGCTGACTTTGCACGAATCAATCTCGCTGGATTACCGCGTAAATCGACTCATTTATTGACTTTTCTTTATTATAATTATTGATCATAGTACGCGATTTTTTTTTACTTTAGTTACTATTGAGTTATATTTCCCGGGGATCGCCCCGGAATTTCAATCCATTTAAAATCGCCGTAATGATTGGTAGGTATGTGCGTTTGTTGATTGGTTTTTTTGCATTACATATTTTATTGCTAGTTTGTCCACACTGTTATTTGCACCGCGAGATATATACGATTCCGTTCATTACATTTCCTATTATTTTTTGATAGCGCTATGCGTTTTGGAAAATTTCTTAATTTGAACGTTAAATGTCTCTTAAGGTCTAAAACTTTATTATATATTTTGAAATTGAGTATATTGTGCCTACCACTATACTTATCATTCTTTCCGTAGTATGTTTACCTTTTGCTAATTTATAACATAAGCTATTAATTTTACTCGCGCTTTTTTTGGAAACACACACACATTCGAAGAGCGCGACTAAAATCTAAATATAAGACATACATATATGTATATACATATAGACTTTCTGAACATTTATTCAAATCATATATCCGCATTCGTAGTCGATTGCATGATGAAGATTTTTGAGATTTTAATTTATCTTTCTGTTGTAAAAGTGAAATAACAGAAAGACAAAATAAATTAAAATGTCAATAACCTTCATCACACACATGCAATCGACTACAAATGCGGATATAGATTTGAATAAATAATGTTCAGAAAGTCTTATAAATTTTCTTTAATGTCGTTACGTGTAAGCTCTGATATTTAGAAACCTTTTCTGTTCTACAAGTTATATACGCATATAACCTAACATAGAATTTATGACTTTCTGATAAATCTGATTTTCAATATTTTTGTTTAAATTCTTTGTCTTTATTGTCTTTTACTTTATAACCGCATTCTTTTATATTTGAACGCTGTAGACATGGACTTTTTAAAAATTAATTACAGTTATAGAGAATAAATGCAACAAAAGTTTGTTTGAAAAAAAGAAAAAAAAGATTGTATTCTAGTCGGAAATTGATTTATTGACGTAATATGGATCGTTTGTTACATTTTCTTGACACAGGTGTTCTATATCAATAAATATGTATACATCTATTTTAACGATTTACTTTTTGCCAGATACAATTTATATTTTTTGTTCACATATGATTTTTCTTATACCGTAAATTTTGTTTTAGTAAAAAGAAATTATGTTATGATATTAATATCATTTAGCGTTATCGATAGTGGAGTTATTATTTATAAAGGTTTAAAAACAAAAATGACCGGCCGAGGTATTAATTTGTTCCGAATCAGCGCGGAAATAATTTTGCTGTAACAATGTCGGCACGTACGATATTCATAAACGCATTTTAATCCATCTCGCTATTAAGTGCTAATTAGCTGTTGAGGGCTGTTTTATTATTTAATTACAAAATATAATACGATTATATCTTTTCACCATTATTGTGTGCAATGTCCAGTTTTATCACTGAAAAACTGTGTTCGCATAAAGACACACGCGTTTAGAATTTACATTTATAATACTTGCTTTTTATTTAATCACGGCGAATGAATGCTACGAAAATTTCTTTATTTTTTTTTTAGAGTTTTATTGCGACACAGAGGCCAGAAAAAAAACACTTTCGTAGCGAATTTGCTTTCTCTTATAATTTAAAGCGAGAAAATGTTTCGCGTGCGTTTCGTGACCGAGTCACGTGCTTGATCGATCGTACCTGAAGGAAGAAAGCGAACGTCCGTCGTTCAAGTGTTTTCTTGGCTACATCGTAGCAGCAAAAATCTCATAGAATTCATTAATAATTTTCTACTTCCAGGATCTAGAATTACTAGACATTTTCGGTCAAACACATTTAGTATTTAGATATTCGTGCATCATGACTCAAACTGTATCTGACGGTTTAGGAAGTATTGGAGATATGTATGAGTAATACATGTGAAAGATTTAACTCCAGATGAAAGAGAAACAATGGCTATACTATAATTACCATATTAAATAAACAGTAATAAAGTAATTGAAATTTTTAATCACGATGCAAAAATTCAGATACAATACGGCCGATTAAAAATACTATAGCATAAAACCGGAAAGACATGCATTTTAATGTAAATTGATACGGGAAACGTTATCTACCTATGTTTTGTTAATGTACAAACTGACAATACATTCATCTTTTTGTTTCAGATTAAACAACATAGTGCCATTTGGACCAAAACGACGGTGATAACCTGGAAGCATTAATCATTCCAACGTCTCGCCAGTAAGTGTATTATTCTGTATGTTTGTACGTTAACAACAATGAAATTAAATTAACTTCCGAGTTGAGGCTGGTATGATTGCTTGTATTTCTGCGCGTGTACATGTACTTGCATTTTTGATTCAAATTTCTTATTAACGCAACGCACACGATGACGTGCATGGCACCGGCGTAATTGTATGCCGCTGATTCACGATAACACATCGAAATTGCGATGTGCCAACAGAAACGAAAGCTGATATCATCGATCCGTTACCTAGAAATTTACCCACCAACTCGTTATCGGTTATTATCGTACGGAGCGAGTACTCGACGCATGATAAATCAATGACTCGCTCGCCTAGATAAGACTCAGCGTATCGGTTACTCCATATATTTGATTCAGCACTCTTATCACTATTCCACCACGGATATTGCCACATACGGCGATTAGATGTTGGTCTTGCGTCGCGTTCGAAACGCTCGTATCGTGAAATATGACGATACATTTTCGATACAGGTTCGAAACGACGGTTGACCAACTGTATGTGTTGAAAATTATTGCGGGTGGCATTCCGGCAAATTTCGCGCCTGTGTTTCGGTCAATAATAAATCGTGCGTAACCGTGCGCTGATGGAATATTATATAGGTGTAAAAGTTTCGATTGTGATATGGAACGAAGATTTATATCTGTTCACTTATTCGACCGCACTTCAGGATATATCGGATTTTGTTACCGAGAGATGATATTTTGCCGAATGCACTGTGAAAAACTCCGAACGCGCCGAACTCTTCTCGTGCGTATTTTCAGTTTTGCGCCGAGCACAGTCAGCGCCGTATGAGAAAATATGTGTTGCGACTGTTGCATTCGCAACAATGCACGCCTGGGCGAACTCGGATATGGCACCGAAATACTCGTATTTGAAAAAAAGATCGATTGAGATCGAGTTTTGTCGAAAGTGTCGATTGTTTTGCGTCAAAATGCCTGCGATCGTATATAGAATAAATTTCTCTCAGAAAAGATGGGCAAAGCTGCTAGTTAATACGAAATCCGTCCAAAGTACATGTTCAAAATGCATTCCTAACGAACGTCTGGTGATTTAGATTCGTGCTATTGTTTCTGTGATTGCGTTTTTGACGAAATGCTCGAGCGAGAATTCAACGGATTTGATTCGGCCGCCGTTGTGTCGCGAAAATAACGAAAATAATGACGCCGAGCGTAGAAATCAGTTTCAAGCCAAGTTCTCCAATCTCTAGACAGTCTGGACCAAGCGAGCAATTTGTTCCACAATATTCGGTGACCTGATAGAACCGAGATTTGATTGACGGCAAGGATACCAATTCGCAATAATTGACATCAATTAGGAAGATATCTGCTGAAAGATAAACGATTGACGTTAGTCGTACCGTCTTTTCCCGACAGGTGCAGAAACTCCGAACGTAGCCACGTGAGAAATGCGATAACATGGATGTTCATTCGTAGATGCGCATGCATCATATTTAGCGCTAAATGTGGATATGCCGTATGAATGCCTAAATATATCCCCTACCAATTTATCTTTCTGTTGGCTCCCAATATACAAAAAAAAATCCGTACAGATTTCGCGGGCTTTATAGAAACTGTCGGCATGTCACGCGGCAAATTGTTTAAAATTCTGCACTCGGTTGAGCGTTGCTGAATTCAAAAGGCCGCCGTTGTAAATTGCCCGGACGCACGCGGCCCGTGTACAGACGGCCAGTTGTCGGCCGTTCGTATGTTCAGAAAATATCGCCACTCCGGAATATTTTGGGATTGCGTATACTCGCGCACACGAGACGAGGCGGGAGACCCGACGCGGACGGAACGAGTCCCCGGGCTCGCCCGTCCCCAGTCGGCGCCCGCCGTGCCGTCGACGCGTCGTCGACTGGGTTGCAGCAATTCGGCGTATCCTGAAATTCGCTGTCTAAATTTTACCAGCACACGGTCGCGCGTCCAGAGTGCATGCTCTCGCGTTGTGCCTTCGGCCGGAAGACTCACATCGTGTTCCGGAGGCCGTGCCTCGTGTACATAATGTAATTTGCGGGACAAATTCACATCTCAAACGGACAGATATGGGACGGGGGTTTCGCATTGCGACTGCGTGTCTGAAATCCCGTTACATTTCGAGTTAATTAATTCGCATAACACTCCGAGTTTTGGTCATCCGATGGATCCGATAGATCTCTGTCGAATCCACCTTCGCCGGTCGCGAGTTACTTCCGACGTTTGTCTCGTTTTCTTGAGTAGTAAAACATTCGCGGTTGATAATTTATGATGATTCATACAGCGTAAGTCTTTAATGGATTTAACATCGTGCCATAGATATAAGACGGATTTAGAACGAGTTAGAGTCTGAAAAGGTATTCAACGCGAAGCCAGAATCCCGTGGGATTTAGTGCTAGCGCTGGTTGATTACTTTCTCAGACATTCTTAGTCTTTCTTTGCTATGGTGCAAACTTAACTTTATTAGCAAATACGCCCAATGCGAGGAATTAAATCTAAAGTTAGTGGCATGTTGGTGCAACAAATTTGATTTGAGGTTTGAGTAATAATACATGTCGATGTTCTCTCGCGCGGTGGTTTTGTTAATTAGATCAAACCTTATTATTATAAGTTGGGTGTATATATATATATATATCATGTGCAACCTGATATTGCAGTATAATAGTCTTGGTAATATAATTAACGCAAACATCAACATATGTTATCATTACGAGAAATTCATACTCTAAGATTAATTAGAGTCTCTAATTTAGAGATAATAATTTATTTGGGTCGATTTAGTTCCATCACTTTCTAATGCTTATTATAGATCCGACTTGCAAGTAAACATAGATCCGCAAGTGAATAATTGATATTCTAATCCCTCTAAATTTCCAGTTCATTGCTTAACTATTAATGCTTACTTGATTAATGTTCAAAAGAAGATTATTTCGTAAGATATTCCATACATTTTACTTTCAATATCTTATAGATAGAGAACCGAAAAATTCATGAATAATCGGAAAGTGCGGTCAAGCTGAACAACTTGTAGAATAATGGACGTACGAACGCGTAAAGTCACGGTGCCGATCGCGAAAGAGTCGTCCGGGCGACATGTCATATCCCCTCGGAATATCCGGCTGCAACAAATCGCCTAATCAGGTGGATATATGACGGATGGAGAGGTGAAATTGGTTCCTGGCCGCGAGTAAATCTTGCGTGTGTCAAGGTGGGAGAAGGGTGCCAGGGGAGAAACCTGGAGAGAAAGAAGGACGCCAGATCGATTTCCTGCAGGATTTATACGACTATTTTTTATCCGACCTGCTCGCGAAGACGTCGTACACTGTGTCACGGCGTCGGGGATACTGTCTCCCGGCGTGCCGTTTTTCAGCTCGCGCCTCCGTTTCACTGCGCTTTTGGCACGCGGCTCGAATACCCCGCGCGACATTAATGCGACAGAGAACACCGTCGAAAGTTTTAATCAATCCGCTCCGATGACTCTTGGAATTTGGTCACGCGTACCGTACAACTCCGAAACGAAACTTTGCACCGCGCCCGGCCCCGAAATGGGCTTTGCTGGCGCGAATTAAAAAAAATGGCTCATTGAGTTGCCAGTGTTCACGGAGCCGTGCATCAACCTTTGTGAGCGCGAGCTCGTTTTAACGGGCACCATATTTTCAACGTCAGCGTACGCGTGCGAACGAAGGTTGATGCAGTTAACCTTCGTGCATAAGATCGCGTGAGTTTTTAATGTGATTCTCATGCTACGCGCTAGTTTCTCCATTGAAGTTACGGTGGTTTCCATCCTGCCGCATTCCGAAGCACGCATTAGTCAGGAAAACTTTGCTTCATACTTCCCCCGGTCTTTTTATTGTCTCGACGTTGCAGTTTTATCATAATTTAGGGAAAATTTTGAGTCTGCTGTATCCTTTATTCATATATATTTGTTCTTTGAACTTTGCTTTTTTTATTCGTCTATTGACCAAGTAAGATATTAATTTGAACAATTCTTATATCATCCGCCTACTAACTGTAACTGGGATTATTTAAAAATAAATATTGAAGTGTGTTATCTTTTACGTAGGAACAATTGTTGAATTTTGTCATAGCATATGCGTTTTTTTCTCGGAAAGTTCGAACACATCACTTGAATATACTCGATATTCGCGACAATTGGTTTTCCTTCGTTTCTCGTTCGTGGTAATCGGGTTTACGTAGCGAGCGCAGTTATCCCGATAACGTTGTATAATAATCGGGACGAGTCGATGGTGCTACATAATATGACCGGATCGAGGACGATTAATGAACGGCAAGTCGGTGCCGCATATTCAGATATATAATTTCGGCTCGAATTCGCGAGCGCGGAGCGGCGCGGCGCGATCAGAGGAAACACACTCTCCGCGGACGCGAGCGGAGGATGCGATTTATCATTCATCGGTGAAAACGGCCGTGACGGTACGGTGCCGCGGTGCTGTATAATTACGCGTATATATATTCGCCGGACCCCCGTGGCTATAAACGATCGTCGCCGCGAATCATCGATTGTACGCATCCTCATTTTCCGCACGATTTTAGATTACCATTCGGTGGAGTTTACGGTCCGTCAATAACTACGAACGGTGATATTGGAAATTCTCGGTGACGAACGTTATTGCGCCATCGCTCGCTCTGCACCGCTTCACCCCCTACCATCACTCTGCACCACCGGGATGCCGCTTGTCCTCCCTGTCTCTCTGTCTCGAGTTCTCACCTCGTCCTCGTCGTCCCCGTCGTACCCTCGTCGTATACCGACGCCGCCGTATCGTCGCGTTCGAGATATCAGACTCGAACTGTCTTCAATGCGGAAGTTTGCCGGTACTTTATCGAAGCCCACACGTAAATTCCCCTTACAGTCCGATATTCACTCTCTTGCATCGCGCTTAAGTAGCAGTTACTCGCCGCTGGCGTTGCTGCTACCCCTTGTTTTGAGACCGCATTCTCTTTCCGCTTTCTCGTTTTTACCATTTCCTTTTTTTTTCCGGAC